ACGTGATTCCGGTAAAGGTAACAAAGATAATGGAGCCCAGAGCAGACTATGTTAATGTCTTGGCCTAAAACTCCAAAAAAGATCTCCCACTGTGAAAATGTTGATTTAATATGGATAGAGGGAGAGCACTTGCATTTTAAAGTGAGCCAAGATATAAAAGACAACCAATGTGTTTATACCTTTGACAGTCTACATAGTCAGTAATTAAAGGGCAAATTTGAACACTGAAAAGTTATCTTGCTGCCCAAGCAAGTCACAGGTCCTTCTGGCGGTTTGAGACCTTGTGGAAATTAAGTCCCTGAAGCCGAATAGCTGCTCTAATCGCCTGTCAGCAGTATATTATCAGACACTAATTATTTTATGAGACTCTTCTGTGCTTTGTGTTAAACCGACTGATTTGTTTATTGACTATAGTATGTCATCACCACCTCATCAATATGGGAGTGTTTTTAGTATTCTGGGAAGACAAAGATTGCTTACATAGAATGATTGCATCCACCATTGTGTTTGAATCATAAATTAGTTCAATTCTTCTTTAAGTCATCTTGCCCGGTGTGTGGCTCAATGGTTGAGCATCGAGCCTTGAACCAGGAGGTGACTGGTTCCATTCCCAGTCAGGTCACATGCCAGGGCGGTGGGCTCGAACCCCAGTAGGGGGTGAGCAAGATCGATGATGTTCCTCCCCTATCAATGCTTCTACCTCTCTATCCCTCTCCCTTTCACTCTCCAAAAAAACCCCAAAACCAACAGTAAAAACATACGTATTTTTTTTTAAAGTCATCTTTCCAATTCTGATTAGTTTTTTTCTCACCAAATTGCAACTTTACGTGGAATAATTGGCCCATAAATTCAGACAAAATAGGCCAGTGAGTTCTGTTTGTTTGGCTCAGCGATCAGTGGTGACTGCTGTGCAGCGGCGGTTACCAGACGCAGGTCTCTGACCTGCGGGAGCTTCCCCCAGGGAGCTGCCAAGAGAGCAGCGTGAGGACAGCCTGTCCGCGTGGGGCAGCCAGATGTCCTCACTTGGGGAAAATAGTCCTTTCTTCTGCGATTGTCTTTCTCTTTCCATGTTGAGACACTAAAATCTCCTCCCTTTTGTGAAATGAGAGCGTGTTAGTTTGTTTTCACACCCTTACTTGGCAAACGAAAAAGCTACGAGTCTTCCCCAGTTGTTTATCTTACCTAACGTTTTTACCTGGCCGGTGGACTCTGATAGCCTAGGAACCCCTGATTTAGAATTTTTATTTTATTTCTAAAGCCATACTCAACAATTCTATTCTGGGGGCAACGGCTGAATAAATTTAGTTAAAAATGGTAAACCTTGCCTTGCTGAAGGTAGGTCTGCTTTAACTTAAGTAAAATACAAGCTTCGTGGGGAGAGATTTTGTGTGCTGTTCTTTGCTATTTTCACAGCAATGACAGTAGGGCCTGTTGGCACAGAACCGGCCATCAATATTCGCTGACTGAGTGGTGCTGAGCAATATCTGCTTAATTAGTGAGCGATGCGTTACCCTGTGCTGATACAAGTTAACATTTTCTACAGCTTGCACCCCTTTGTTCCCAGAACAAGATCGCAATGCATTTGTTATAAATGACTCAGAAGGTTAGTCTCTCAAGCAGTAACAGACCCCCCCCCCCGCCCCCCTCCTTTGGGAACTGCCTCCTCTAGTGAGAAGAAGGCTGGGAGCCTAGTGACTGCTCAGACTGGCGAAGGACAGGCCCCTGACGCAAGGTGCCGGCTCAGGTTCTCCCAAGATTTTGCATTTGGAACAGAGACAATGAGTCCCTGCTTGTGGCTGGACTTGCCGTGAACCCAAGAGCCAGAGGAAGGCGTGATCGCCCATGCAGGTCAGGGCTGCGCAGAGGAGCCTGCCAGCAGGAGAGAAGCATGAAGCGGAAGAGGACAGAGCAGGGTGCGGGGCTGCCTGCCGGGCTGCTCACAGCTCTCCTGGCCAGGACTGTGCGCCTGTCTGCGCAGAGACCCCAGAACCCAGAGCACATTGCTGCTTTGTTCTTGTGGTTTTTTTAGATATGTTTTTATTGATTTCAGGGAGGAAGGGAGCGGGAGAGAGAGAGAAACATCAATGATGAGAATCACTGCCGGCCGCCTCCTGCGCGCCCCCTGCACGCCCCCACTGGGGATGGAGTCCGCAACCCGGGCATGTGCCCCGACCGGGAATCCAACCGTGACCTCCTGGTTCATAGGTGGACACTCAGCCCCTGACCCACGCTGGCCGCTGGCCGGGCTCATCTTCTTTGTTTCGTTGTTGCTGATAATGCTTTATCGTTTGCGTGTGTTTGCTTAGCAGTGGTTCTCAACCTGTGGGTCGCGACCCCTTTGGGGGTCAAACGACTTTTTCACAGGGGTCGCCTAAGGCCATCTTGCATATCAGATATTTACATTATGATTCATAACAGTAGCAACATCACAGTTATGAAGTAGCAACGAAAATAACTTTGTGGTTGGGGAGTCACAACATGAGGAACGGTATTAAAGGGCCAGAAGGTTGAGAACCACTGGGTTATAGGAATTCACGTTCGTTTCCCTTAGAACCTGAGAGCACTAGGACCAAAGAATTCTAACAGAATAACCAAGGGTTATTTTAATTTTGTAGTAATGTTAATATTATCTGTATAAGTTATATGGTTGTTTAAAAAAAGTTCACTAGTTAATAATAGTCTTCAGCTATAGCTTTTGGTCAGAGAGGAGCTTTTACTCACTTTATTCCTTTTTTAAAGATAGCCATGCATATATGCTCACTGGTGCTGAAGCAGTGGGCTGAAGTGAGGAGAGCTCCTTGCCTTGCAAGAATATAGTAATTTCGAGTAATGAGAGGCAGGTACCTTCATCCAGAGTATGTGAGTGGTCCCATTCAAAAGGTTAGAAAATGGCCCTGGCCGGTTTGGCTCAGTGGATAGAGCATCAGCCTGCGGACCAAAGGGTCCTGGGTTTGAATCCAGTCAAGGGCACGTACCTTGGTTGCAGGCTTCTCCCCAGCCCGGGGCCTGGTCAGAGCTCACGCAGGAGGCAGCCAATGGATGTGTTTCTCTCACATCGGTGTTTCTCTCTGTCTTTCCCTCTCTCTTCTGCTCTCCCTAAAAATCAATGGGAAAATATCCTCGGATGAGGATTAACAACAAAAGAAAGAAAATGTCTAAATTCTTTCCAGCTCTATTGAGATTTAGGCACTATATCTAATTCAGTAAGATTATCTTTTCTATCTATTAATGGAACCTAGATTTGAAAGATTCAGGTTTTAAAATAGGGAACATCACCATTCCCTCCTCCCCCATGTATGCGCTGTGGGTTTTTTCTGTTCTTTATCCGGTCAGGGCAACCGGAACCACATTTTCAGTCCAGAAATCTGGTGGCCGCGGGCTTGATTTCTAACACATTAACGTCCGTCTTCTATTGACTTAAGTCCCATTGACCCACAATTACTTATTATAAGAACCACTTAACTCACATGTGAAAGGGTTTTGAAACGATTAAAAGCCACCAAATAGAAGATAAGCACATTAAAATGTCCAGAATTTCTAAGATCATTCAACTTTATGCTTTATTAGTGAAAACCCATTAAAATCCAATTTTTCACATTTTCAGGAAGTAATGCCAGTTAATGTATTTAGTATTAATCTTTTCACTTATAACCTCCTTGCCTTTCTGTGATTGTCCCTTCCTTGTCTTTCCCAGGACTTTAATCTCACTCATCTCTCAAGTATAATGTCAGTAATGAGGTCATTACATTTTCTATTAAAATTCATACTTTGGTCTTAGTTGTGGCCTAATTTAAACACTGACATTATGGACTCATGCTAATTAGCCCGGATGGCCAAATCCCCCACCAATTAAGCAAATGTAGACATTTCAGGTTATTTCTGTTACATTAAGAGAAAAGTATGGTGATTGTGACCTAAAGTCATTAGCCCCAAGACACCATAATAAAATTATGTCTTCTAATTATGGTATCTTGATTGCAACCATGTTTCATCCCTTTGCACTCTGAATTTAGACCTTTCTGTCATCACCATGGATTCTTTATATTCGTTCTACTCTAACCGTAAGTTTGGCTTCTGTGAGGAAAAATGTTCTTTGCACAATGATGAGTTGGTTTAATTTAAAAAGTTTTGCCTTAGGTGGGGCCTGGGAGGAGGGGGGTAAATGGAGAAGGGGAATGGAGATATCTGTAATAGTATCAACAATAAAAAATATAGCTCGGCCGGCGTGGCTCAGTGGTTGAGTGTCCACCTATGAACCAGGAGGTCACGGTTGGATTCCCCGTCGGGACACAGGCCCGGGTTTCGGGCTGGATCCCCAGTGTGGGGAGTGCAGGAGGCAGCTGATCAATGACTCTCTCTCATCATTGATGTTTTTCTCTCTCCCTCTCCCTTTTCTCTGAAATCAATAAAAATATACTTTAAAAATTCTCTATTGGTTGCAGGAGCCGGTTACCCATTGGCATGATGTGATGGCTGGGTTCCCAGGCTTGCTCCTCGTGGAGTTAGATGCGGTTCTAACGGTGTTGATCTCAGTTCTGGTTTGGGAGCAGGAGAAGGAGGTGGGGCGGGAGGGGGAGTGTGAGGGGAGGAACGGGAGGTGGAGGCAGGGACAGCGACAGCGACAGAAGGAGGCGAAGAAGAGAAGGGAAGGGCAAGAAGGGCTGGACGAGGAGACCGTCCCCAGGGTCCCGGCAAACTTGGAGGCAGTGCAGTTGGTTTGTGCGCCCTGATTTTCACTTCTGTCCCCCTCGAAACCCCGTGCCCTCCCTCATTTGGGCCCTAAGTTCCCACCCTCCCCCGCCTCCCCCACCGAATACACTCACGAGACCCCCCTTTCTCAATGCGTCTTCTTAGCAAGGTGTTCGGAAATGACCTCATCAGTGCGAGAGAACCTCGTTGTTCTGGGGCGCTCACAGCCCGAAACCGGGGGGGGGGGGGGGGGGGGCAGTCCAGGCGGCTCTGAGGACGATGGGCTCCGGCTCGGCCCCCACGCCGCCCCAGGCGGGTCCCTGGCGCATGCGGCCCCCTTTCTGTCTAACTCCACGCCCCCCGGGGTCGCAGGGACCGCCAGCTGGCCCTCAAGACGTTCTGGGCTGAACCCAGGTGGCTTTTGGTTTCCTTTTGTTTGGTTTTTGCAAACAGCCCTGGTTGGGCAGAGGGGCTGGTACTGGTGCTGGTACCAGTGGCCCTGCGGTGAGGGGCTGGCGAGGGAAGCTGCGATGCCCAGGAGCTGGCTCCCGTCCCTTCTTCAGACGACCACAGTGGCCCGAGTCCCGGGGGGCGGGGGGACCAGTGACTCGTTAGGAAACGAGTGTGACCACGCGGCTCTTGCTGCTCACGCTCGGGGAGGCGCTAAGGTCAGACCAGCAGGGGAAGCTGCCGGTGATGTCGGCCACGTTTTGGACACTGTAGGCCTTCAGGCCCGACCCCCTGTTGAGGGGGCCCGTGTCCAGGAGGGCGATGTCCGCACAGGACGGCCCGCCGGCCGCGCCGGGTGCTGCTCTCGGGCTCCCTGGGCAGGAGGAGGCTCTGCGGGGCCGCGGGGCGCCCGGCCTGGGCGGCGACGGTGACACGGAGCCCCTCCAGGCCGCAGAGGGCCAGGGGCCGGGCAGGGAGGGTGTGCGGCTGCACAGCGAGAGCCCCAGGTCCCGGACCAGCGTGAAGTTCAGCAGGAGCCCCAGGGCGGGGAGAGGGTGAACCAGACGGGCAGGCGGCCGGGGGCCGGGGCGGCACAGCAGGCTGGCCAGGCTGTAGTCACAGTCCCGGACGTCGCCGGGGCAGCGGCAGCTCCGCGCGGTGTTGTCCTGGGCGAGGATCAGGGTGCTGCTGAGCTGGCCTCGTGCAGGGTGGTCGAGGGCAAGGACGCCCAGCACGAGCAGGAGGAGGCTGTGCCGGCGGCTGGTGCCAGGCTGCCCCGCGGTGGCCGCCAGGTCACGGACTCACCGGAAAGAGGGGTGCAGCTTGGTTACTCTCCTCAAAGGGAGCCCCTGCCAACGCGGGAGCCCTGCTCCCCGCGCTCTAACCAGGGCAGGTGGGGCGGGGGCCACGGGCAGGATGCTCACTCCCGGGCGCCTTCCAACCGGCAGCGGCCAGCGCGGAGCTCTGCTCATCGGAGGCATCAACTCCCAGGCGTGCCGTCCGCTGACAGGGAGGCCAGGCCAGCACCCCCACAAGGGAGGGGGACTCGAGGAGGAGACCTGGGCCCCGGCGTGGTGCGGACCTGGGCGATTTCAGTGTGCACGGCCCCCAACATCCAGTCGCTGGTGCTGAGGGCCTGTCGGCCCCCGAAACGTGCACACCCGCTCCGCCGGCCACCCCCGGTTCCTGGACCCACCGACAGCGCGTTCCTGTTGGATCCAGCCGCCCAGCTACCCGTGGACCCACAGCGCGGCCGCCAGCGAGCGGCCAGTTAATGGGAAACTTTCATTTCCAAGCGGACAGCAGGCCCCCGTCCCACTAACCTGCTGACAGGCCGTTCACACGTCTCCTGGCCTCACGGACGGCGTGTTCCAGTGGATTCTACCTGCGGTGATAGACAAGGACAAGACCAGTCACACCAGTTCACCCCAGTGATCTCCACTCACCCACTCCTTTCCTGGAGCAAATCTATGAACTGACTTCACCAAGTCGGTCACTGCAGGGCCCCAGAGCTCAGCACCCACAGGCACTGCCCAGTGTCCAGATAAGGCAGGAATGCGGGCGGGGTTACCCGGCAGCGCGGGGGGGCGGGGGGGGGGGAGCTCGGGACATGCCCCAGCGCCTGGCATTGATGGGAATCAGATACACATCATGAAACTGGGCCCCAGAATTCAGTTTGGCAAAAATAATGACATTTCCCCTGAGTTAGCTGATGACTGAAGGGAGAGACTCAACACAATACAATTTGTCTGTATTCGAAAGGCCTCATGGGTACGGTGAGAAACGGGGGTGAGACCTCTGGCCAGGAGAGTCCGGAGCTAGGACTGGGCCCCTGCAGGGAGGGACACGGAAGGGTCCGTCTGGGGGGTGCACACGTGTCCACAGAGGTAGGGTCCGTCTGGGGGGTGCACACGTGTCCACAGAGGTGGAGACGGGAGGAAGGAGGCCGGACAGGCCTGCCACACAGCTGCAGGCGGAGGCGAGGAGAAGGCCAGGGGGCAAAGCTACAAAGGCCAACTCGCTGGATGGACAGGCCGCACCAGGCCACCAGCAGGGGCCGGAGCGCACGGGACTAAACGTAAGCTCAGCCAAGACCGTTTGAACAGAAGAGGAAACACCGGTTTTCATAGCAAATGCCTGGGGGCAGCCCAGAGTCCGACGGGAGCTGACGGAGCTGATGTTCAAATGCACTTGATTCTGCTTCCAGAACCCAGGGGCCAGCCTGTGGGGAGGACCAGGGGCTGCGGCAGAGGGGGAGGGGCGATGGCGGGAGCCGCCGGCTCACAGGGCATGTGCTGAGGCCACGCAGAGAAGCGAAGACGAACAAGGCTTCCGTGCAAAAGAGGAAGACAGAGGAGGCTCCAGAAATCAGGATTTTAAAAAGATTCCCAGGTGACTCTAACGTGCAGCCGAGGTTGAGAACCACTGCCTTAGACCTGTCTGTCCAGCTGTGGAGTCTGGGGACGGGGGCGGGGGGTGGGGAGGGGAGAGAGGGGCACGTGTCTACCACTGTGGGCTGGAATTCCAGGTTCCTTGATTCACTCTTTTCCTGATCACGAGGGCAATGCAGCTCCTGACAGCCACTGCGATACTCCCCGGTGTGTGGGGAACCATGAACTCTACTCCCCGTCTCAGCGCACCGGCAGGGGTAACAGGCGCGCACGTCTGCATTGATGCCGATCTTGCTTTGCCTTGGAGCTTGAGCCACTGCTTTGATGGTTAATGAACATGGAGGGAGGGGGGACACAGCTCCTGAGAGACGGGAAGGAAGACTGGCTCACGTGAGCTCCTGTGGGCGTGGACCAGGTGAAGCTTCTGACAAAAGGACCCTCACGTGTACTTTAGAAAAGAATAAAGTGCCCGGCTGGTGTGGCTCAGTGGCTGAGCGTTGTCCCATATGCCCAAAGGTCACGGGTTCGGTTCCCGGTCAGGGCACGTGCCCAGGTGGCAGGATCCACCCCAGCGTGGGGCGTGCAGGAGGCAGCCCACTCATCAATGGTTCCCTCTCATCACGGATGTCTCTCTCTCCCTCTCCTTTCCTGTCTCTCAGGTCAATAGAAACAGCTTTGTAAAGAACACAGTGCCATCGGCCCTGAGGGAAACAGCGAAGTGATCGAGACCTGCACGGTACCCTCCTCGTTCCCTCCCGTCTCGCTCCGGCATCGGGTCTAACCCTAACCCTAACCCTAACCCTTTCCATAGGCAAGTCGTGCCCATGACGTTTTCTTCAGCGCCCTGCATTGCAGAGAGGAAGAAAGAAGGCGATCCCAGCTTTCCCTAGAAGTTTAAACGTGCCTCGCCTTAGAAGAGAGAGGGCGCTGTACGGACTCCCGCCTTAGTGACCCCACCCGCGGAAGAAAGGCAGTGGAAACATTGCTTTTCCTGGCACCAGATGGCGCGGTTTCTCCAAAAACCAAACCAGAGTCCCGCGCTCCCAGGCGCTTCTGACTCGGAAGCCACTTTAGAAGCCGCACAGCCTTCTCCTTGCCCGAGGCCTGAGGCTCCGGTGGCCCAGGGCGGGAAGGGAGCCAGGGGAGGAGGAGAGGAGGCAGGGCCCCTCACAGCGAAGCTGCAGTGAGAACACCGGGAGGCGGCCGCCCGGGGGGAAGATCCGTGGCCCTGACTTTGGAGGGGAGCCTGGAGTTTGCCGTCCTTCCCTCTCGGGCTCCAGATCGGATCGGACGTCCCTCACCCAGTTGCTTTGCAAAGAATCTGAGCGCTGAGCACGTGGCTCTAGGTCTCGGGTGACTCGCGGGGGTCAGGTCACCTGGCCAGGGGCTGGCTTTGCTGTCATCGGCCCTCCTTATTTGGAATTCCCCCGAACATTTCTTAGTTTTGCTGCTTTCCCCCATAGGTGAGTATGGAGAGAACTCCATGTTCAAAAGGAGCGTGCAGCCCCTTGCTGGGCACTGAGGACGCACGGTTCCACGCTGCACGGCCACGGGGGGCCACGGGAATGCACACCCAGCCGCCCACCTGCTAGGGTCAATATTTTGGAAAGCAAAATACGTTTTCTAATTACGATGTTTTATACAGCAGTTAGTTTTCAGAATTAACCCACAATACAGTGTATTACTTCGTATTTTATCATTTTCTTGACCATTATGGCCATCTATGGTTATCCAAAAATGTAACTCTTAGGGAAAGTATTGTAATGTCACCAAACTTCTCCCCAGAGATAATCATGTTAACATGTTGGTGTCAGCATTTTTCTCTGTGCGTTCCCCAAAATGGTCGTCATTTTTCAGTATCAGGAGCATTTATTATTATGAATAAAACTTCTTCAGGTGTGAAATCTTTGATTTCTGAAACTAACGTTGATCTGTTTTTTTATCTGCAAAGCGAAATTCAGGAGAATCCCTACAACACAGGCTTCTTCAGAGATGAGATAATGCAGGCCAGGCGCCTGCACAGCGCTGGGCACCTCAGAACGCCCGGGAAGTGCTAGCTTTTACGTTGTTATTACTGCCATTTGTGCTGTTATAAACAGCGATGCAATTCACGCCCTAGAGCAGCGGTTCTCAACCTTCCTCACGCCGCGACCCTTTAATACGGCTCCTCATGGTGTGGTGACCCCCAACTTCATTGCGACAAATGGAACATAATGAAAGCATAGTGATTCATCACAAAACAATATGTAATTATAGATGTGTTTTCCGATGGGCTTAGGCGACCCCTGTGAAAGGGTCGTTCGACCCCCAAAGGGGCTGCGACCCACAGGTTGAGAACCGCTGGCCTAGAGACTCTGTCTCCCTTGGCTCATTTCTCTGTGAATGTCACAGGCGTTGAATTGTTGAGCTGATGTGTATGACCCATCTTGAAGTTCTTGCTATGCACTGGCAACATCGCGCCCCCAGTAGGTGCTGACTGGGCGAACCTAGGCAGTCACAGACCTGGGCACCTGCCTGCCTCGAGGCAGGACGCTGATGGCCAAACCAGATGCCCCCTGAGCCCCGGCAGCTCTGAGGCCTGGGGTGGTAGCGGGCCCCCTCACTCTCCCTTCCCATCTGCGATCTCCTGTTTTCATGAGCGAACAACAGCTCCGCGCCCTGACATCCATGTAAGGGAGAAGGTCTAACCTTAAATGCAAGCGGTAACTGAGCACTGAGAATGACGGGAGGGACGGACATGGATGCAGATCTTTTACCAGGAGCCGGGCTAAGCAGGGCGCACAGATGAGAAAAGAGGCGGTAATGGGCCTTCCCCGTAGACGGCGAGCTTCCCGCCAGAGCCTGCGGTGTCGCGAACACAGATGCTGACCCTCGCTGGCCGGCTGCACGTGGTCTCTTAGCCCCTTTGGTCCCCACTCCAAAGCCGAGCTGGGAACAAGGAGCAGCGCCGGCCGCCGGGCAGGGGGTCCACATGGGCCTGGCAGGGCCCGGCCGGCCGGCACAGACCGATTGCCCTCCGGCTGCGGTGCCTCCCCCAGGGTGGCCCAGCTCTTTGGGGTTTTATTTTCGCCACCAGCATCGCCCTCCAGTGCTGCCAATATGGTTCAGGTCGCAAACAACCACACGTGATACGTCCACGGCGGCCTGCGGACCTTAGGGACCAGCCACACGCGCCCACCTGGGTTCTCACCAGCACTGCGGGCCTCCGGGTAGGGGCGGGGGGTGGCCCCCGATCTGCGCCTGCTGGCGGGGAGGGTCTGAGAGTTCACCCCGAACGCAGGCGGGTTTGCGAAGCTGCCGCAATCACCTGTGGCTTTAGTTTGGGGGTTGCTGGCCCGCCACCTCAGCCGACGGGGGGGGAAAGCGACAGGCCTCGTCCTCGGCCGGCTTCCTGTGACCCTTTGCCGCAGGGACGACCCGTGTGTGCCCAGTGCCACCGCCGGCCTGGCGGGAATGCGCCCTAGTGAGCCGAACGCAGCGCCTCCTGCTGGTCTCTGTGCGCATTTCCGCTCGCTGTCGTCATTGCTACCAAAGGCGGCACCTCAATGGGAACAGCAAAGGGTGCTCTGAGCGCCCCGTATATGTCTGTTTGTTTGTTTTTTAACGTTTTTTTTTATTGATTTCAGAGGGAGGGAGGGAGAGAGAGATAGAAACACAAATGATGAGAGAGAATCACGGATCGGCTGCCGCCTGCGCGCCCCACACTGAGGATCGAGCCCGCAACCCGGGCCTGTGCCCTGACCAGGAATCAGACCGTGACCTCCTGGTTCATAGGTCGACGCTCAGCCCCTGAGCCCTGCGGCCGGACGGAGCTCACTGTTGTGATTGTGAGCCGGGCTGCCTGCCTCCTGGGGGGCCCCGGGGGCCCGCAGCCGCCAGCCCGGCTGGGATATCACTTACCAGCGAGGCCCCCGGGGGCCCGGCCGGCGCAGCCTGTTTACAAGCCGCGTGGCTGTTAGGGCAGCTTCCCGGTGCTAATTAGCCGTTGGCCGATGAGCCGCTCTGCAGAGGCCCCAGGTGCCTCGGGGGTGGTTTTAAATTGATACAAAAACACACAATAACTCGCTCCAGGTGAGTGTGGGCAGCGCCTCCCCAGCAGGTTGGCCGTTTGCTCGCTGCGGCTGCGGCTGCGGCTGCGGCTGTGGCTGTGGCTCCCGGATCCCACAGTGGCCCCGCCAGGGTCGCGGGTTTACGAAGGTCCTTAATTGGTTCCGTGCGGCCATTATTTTCGCTGAGTGACAGGACGGCGCTGCGCCAGCCCCAGGCCGGAGGGACCTGGTCATTAGGCCCTGCCTCCGCCTGGCCGGGGACGCAGATTCGTGTGATGTTTTGCGCTGGGAGTTGGGGGGGTGGCTAATGTTCACGCTAAGACACCTGCTCTTCCGGCAGGAACGCGAGGCCCCTTTCGCTGAAGCCTGCAGTGAAAGCGCCTGGTGTCTTCCATCAGACAGAGGATGAGTTCGACTCCTTTTTAAAAAAATATATTTTATTGATTTTTTACAGAGAGGAGGGGAGAGGGATAGAGAGCTAGAAACATCGATGAGAGAGAAACATCCATCAGCTGCCTCCTGCACACTCCCTACTGGGGATGTGCCCACAACCAAGGTACATGCCCTTGACCGGAATCGAACCCGGGACCCTTCAATCCGCAGGCCGGCGCTCTATCCACTGAGCCACACCAGTCAGGGTGAGTTCGACTTCTTATAGTCCCCCCCCCCCCCCCCCCGTCGCTTGGTGAACAGATGACCTTGACCTTTGTTTATTCAACTCCTGCTCCCCTGAAGCTTGTAACGTTGACCTTGGTTAAGGGAGACAATGCGGGTTTGGAGGCCACTGAAGGGGTCGCCCCCCCGGGTTTCACTGCCCTGGACCCGTTATTACTGCTTTCTGCCCCCTGGGAGGAACGTGGTGAGCTTGATCAGGTTCGTCTCATGCGGGTGGAAGAGCAGCCGGGGCACCGCCTCATCCTAGCGGAGAGAAAACATACACAAAGCCCGCAGCAACCAGAGGCTCCTGACCCCCAGGGCACACGCAGCACTGCTGGCGAGCCAGTCTCCTGGGCGGAGCTGCAGGGACGTGTCGGCGCGTTTCAGCATCGAGAGGACATTCCGATCTGCATCAGAAGCCGACCAGGCAGCGAGCCAGGCCTGCAGGACGCACAGCAACCGGGACAGCGTTCCCCAGCCTCCCTCCGTGCTGGGGACATGGATCAGCCGCCTCTGCACGCCCCCCACTGGAGATCGAGCCTGCAACCCGGGCCTGTGCCCTGACCGGGAATCGAACCCTGACCTCCTGGTTCATAGGTTGACGCTCAGCCACTGAGCCACGCCGGCCGGGCTCACTTTTATTTGATCCTCTCTGGTATATTCTGAAAAACGTAAAGAGCATTTGTATCTTGGTTTTCAATACCAACAGAGAGAGAGAAAGAGAGAGAGAGAGAGATATCTGTTCTCAGGCTGCGATTCAAAGGCTCAGAGAGCCCCTACCTGCTTGGTGTGTTTGCCTGAGTCACAGAAGGGGCTGCAGCCTCAGGGCGGCCCTGGGAGGGGGCAGCTGTGCCGGGAGCCATGGCAACGGGCAGGGACACGCACGTGGGAAGGCGGGAAGTGCTGGGGACTCTTCCTGTCACCTGTGCACCAGGTGGACCACGCCCTTTTATTTGGGGGTACTTGGTGGGGAGGAGAAGGAGCTGCAGCTGGAAGAGGGGAGTGGCTGCTGGAAGAGGACATGGGTGCGAGCTCACGGGCGCTGTGGGGGCTGCTGCTTGCTTACCACACCCTGCGGCCTGCTCCTCAGAGGAAGGGCAGCCACATAAACACGCTCCTCACGCTGCCCAAGGGCTCTGCTCCCGAAATCCCGTCCTGGGGCTGGCCGGCGGGGCTCAGTGGTCGAGCGTCGACCTATGAACCAGGAGGTCAGGGTTCGATTCCCGGGCTGTGGGCTCGAGCCCCAGTGTGGGGCGAGCAGGAGGCAGCCGATCAGTGATTCTCTCTCATCACTGATGTCTCTCTCTCCCTCTCCCTTCCCCTCTGACATCAGTACAAACATATTTTACAAAAATTCCGTCCTGGGCTGCTCTTTGTGTTCAGAGGCATGTAAAGCCTTTCCCCCAAACGGCGGGTTCCTCCGAGCCTCCAGCTCCCAGGCCGGCCGGTGCCCCCAGAGCGCCCCTCCTTCCCAGCAAGTCTTTTAACCACATGCAACCATTCCCATCCCGAATCTAAAGCACTACGCTGTGCTCAGGAGAGGGACAGAGGCACCGCCAGGCATCAGAGAGACGCAAAGTAACACCACAGGGAGGGGCCCCGCACCCCTGTCAGGATGGCTGCCATCAACAAATCAACAAACTCCACAAGTGCCGGGGAGGATGCGGAGAAAAGGGAGCCCGCGGGCGGGCACGGCTGGTGCGGCCACCGTGGACACAGGGAGGAGTTACCTTTAAAAACTAAATGTGGAACTCCCACGTGACCCAGGTCCCAGTTCTGGGAATATCTCCTAAGAAACACCCATCAGAAAGGCCATCTGCACCCCTATGTTCACAGCAGCACAACTCACAGCAGCCAAGATCTGGGAGCGCCCAGGTGCCCATCGGCAGGCGCGTGGCTGAGCAGCCGTGCTGCGTGGTCACAGCGGAAAACTACTTGGCCGTGAAAAGGGAGGAAACCTTACCTTTGGCGACAGCGTGCAGGGGCCTGGGAGCATTACGCTGAGTGCGCCGAGCCAGCGAGGAAGACAAATGTGTGGCATCGAACGACCAAGGAAACAAAAGCTGAGAAGGGGGAGAGGATGAGGAGCACATTTCTGCGCGCAGCATCCGCAGAGGCAGGAGTGAGTGCAGGTGTCTGTCTGGTGGTGCGTCGGGAGCAGGAAAGGGGGGCGGTGGGTCTCCCCCCGACCTGCTCACGCCCACTCCTTCAGCTCGCATCCGGTGCTGCCCACCAGCGAGCCCGCCAGGCCAAGCAGCCCTTCCTATGGGACGTCGTTTTGCAGAAGCAAACGCCCTCCGTGTGGTGATTTGAAGGTTTCAGGGAGCCGGCGCGGCCGCCGGTGCCAGGCCAGGCTAGCTGCGCTCGAAGGAGGCCCGTATGCTGCCTTCGAAACAGCCCTTGGGTTTAATTTGGTGAAACAATGCGCCATAATCAGCCACGTGGACAGCAGTCCTGGCTGACGCGGGGGGGACTCCGTGTTACAACTCCCACTCAACCTTGCCGTGCTAATCGCATTACGCGCTCCAGTCGGCCTGTTCGGGCTGCCTTCAGAAAGTCCTTTCCGTGGTGGTCAGATCGCCCCGAGGCCGGGAGATTGAATGTATCATAAAACTCATTAACTAACCAGCCAGGCACCCCCGGAGGGCAGGGTGCTGGCATAGGAGGCCGAAGACTCCAGCGTGCACTGTGTTTACACACACACACACACACACACACACACACACACACCCCACAGCCTCGGGGACACGTTGATTGTGCACAGAAGTGCGTCCCGGGCCTGCGTTCCTCACGCTTGGACGTGCTTGTGACTCATCAAACTCAGATCTGACTCAGCAGCTCTGGGAGGGGCCGAGGGTCTGTGCTGCTGACACGGGTGCTGACTGCTGGCCTGAGGACCACCGGGGAGAGCAGGCCTTGGGAGGGTATAGAGAACATCCAGTAATAACAGACGCACTAGTCCGGCCGGCGGGGCTCAGGGGCTGAGCATCAGCCCAGGAACCAGGAGGTCAGGGTTCGACTCCCGGTCAGGGCACAGGCCCGGGTTGTGGGCTCAAGCCCCAGTGGGGGCCGTGCAGGAGGCAGCCGGTCCATGATTCTCTCTCATCATTGATGTTCCTATTTCTCTCTTCCTCTCTGAAATCAATAAAAATATATATATATTAAAAAAACAAAACCAAATCTGTTCATTTTTATGTGAAAAATGTGTTTTTCACGTTCTCTTGTGGACGGGATTTAGCAAACAGATTGGCTTTATTTTGCTTGTTCACTTGGCTTCGCAAATTCCAGGGCAGGAACGGCCACCTCCACGCTGCCCTGGGAAGACGTAGCCAGTGTAATCGACATCGGCAAACGGCTCTCCTGGGCCCACAGGGCAAAGGGCGCCCCCATTCAGAAAAGCCACCCACTCACCCAAAGGCGCCTTTTTACACAAATGAACCCAGAGCCGTGTGTCAGCAGATGACGGACGAGCTGGAGACGGAGCTTCGCTGAGCCGGTCAGGAGGCAGGCCTGGGTCTCAACCTCAGTGTCCTCATCTGAAATGAGGGAGGGAGACACCCAGCCCTCACATTTGATTGGCAGGTGAGGCAGAGTGAGGTTGACCAATCAGGTCACCTTGCTAAGCTACAGCCATGGCCTCCTGCTTCCCATTGGCTCTGTTGGACGTCTCAGAAGGCACCAGTGTTTTCCTACGTTAGCCGGCGGAGATCGCTCCAAACCCTCATGAGAGTACAGAGACTTACCTGGCAGGGGAGGTACTATGATCACGAAGAGTACAGAGCTGTGGGCGAGTTATACACATAACACGCCGCTTGGTGGCTGGGCCAGGCGGCCAGGCGCTGTGCTGCACGTACATTTCTCAGCTCTCCGGCTTCCCATTTCACAGGCGGGCGGAAAAGCTGTGAGAGCTCACTCACAGCCACGGAGACCGGACGCAGAGGTCAACGGCATCTCCTCCCACAGGGACCCACACACAGCGTCCATCCCTTCCTGCTAATGTGCTGCTTAAAAAATATATATACACACACACACACACATATATATCCTATTAATAAAAGGCTAATATGCAAATCGACTGAACAGCGGAACAACTGGTCACTATGACACGCACTGACCACGAGGGGGCAGATGCTCGATGCAGGAGCTGCCCCCTGTGGTCAGTGCGCTCCAGCCATGCATATGCTGCTTTCTTAAGCATCTGTCTCCATTTTAGGGCCGGAGGCTCTGTCTGTTAGGCCACCGCTGGCTATTAAAGTACTTCTGCCAGCAGCTCTTGCTTCTCACCAGGAGTAAGACAACAGCAGCCCTATTTATTCATTTCCCCCCACATCTTCGCACGGACCTTGGTTCAGCTCTGGCCATCCCGGGTTCTGTTTAATCTCCGTGGGTTGTGAGGAGAAGCTGCCCACACAGGTGACTGACTGCTGGGGGCCCTGCATTTTCTGGAAGCTTCCATCCTCAGGCAGTCACCCATCGTGACGTCCATAGGGAAATGCCATTTCTCCAAAACACGATTCCACTCAACACAGCATTTCTCAGCCCAAAGTTCCACACAGGTCATGGCCTCTGTCTTTATTTATGTATTAATTAATTAATTAAATATGGTTTTATTGATTTCAGAGAGGAAGGGTGAGGGAGGGAGAGAGAGAGACATCAGTGATGAGAGAGAATCATGGATCAGCTGCCTCCTGCACGCCCCGCACTGGGGATCGAGCCTGCAACCTGGGCCTGTGCTCTGACCGGGAATCTAATCGACATTCAACCCCTGAGCCATGCTGGCCAGGCTGGCCTTCGTCTTTAAAATGCTCTAAAATGCCATGGCCACACAGGAAAACTCTCAGGTGTGACAGCAGAGGGAGGGGTGCTGCAGGGGAGGGGGTGCTGCAGGGGAGGGGGTGCTGCAGAGGGAGGGGTGCTGCAGGGGAAGAGGTGCTCCAGGGGAAGGGGTGCTGCCGAGGGAGGGGGTGCTGCAGGGGAAGGGGTGCTGCAGAGGGAGGGGGTGCTGCAGGGGAAGAGGTGCTGCAGAGGGAGGGGTGCTGCAGAGGGAGAGTGTGCTGCAGAGGGAGGGGTGCTGCAGGGGAAGAGGTGCTGCAGAGGGAGGGGTGCTGCAGGGGAAGGGGTGCTGCAGAGGGAGGGGTGCTGCAGAGGGAGAGTGTGCTGCAGAGGGAGGGGTGCTGCAGGGGAAGAGGTGCTGCAGAGGGAGGGGTGCTGCAGAGGGAGAGTGTGCTGCAGAGGGAGGGGTGCTGCAGGGGAAGAGGTGCTGCAGAGGGAGGGGTGCTGCAGAGGGAGAGTGTGCTGCAGAGGGAGGGGTGCTGCAGAGGGAGGGGTGCTGCAGAGGGAGGGGTGCTGCAGGGGAAGGGGTGCTGCAGAGGGAGGGGTGCTGCAAGGGAGGGGGTGCTGCAGGGAAGGGGGTGCTGCAGAGGGAGGGGGTGCTGCAGGGAAGGGGGTGCTGCAGGGGAGGGGGTGCTGCAGGGAAGGGGGTGCTGCAGGGGAGGGGGTGCTGCAGGGAAGGGGGTGCTGCAGGGGAGGGGGTGCTGCAGGGAAGGGGGTGCTGCAGGGAGGGGGTGCTGCAGGGGAGGGGGTGCTGCAGGGAAGGGGGTGCTGCAGGGGAGGGGGTGCTGCAGGGGAGGGGTGCTATAGGGGAAGGTGCACTGTTCTGGGGGCAACAGGGGAGGGGGAAATGGTGAGACCATCGGGTCTGTCCCACGTGCAGCCTGGCGGGGCGTTTGCTTTGGCGGAGTTGTTCATAACTCTCTTCCCCCCGCCCCCCCCCCCACCCCGTCCCAGGCTGGGGCACACGCAGTGGAACCCAGGGGCGGACAGCTCCATGGACACGCGGCCTCCGCTGTCCTCTCGGGCTCGCACGCTCCTGCTTTGCTTGGGTTTCCAGCAGCCACGCCAGGGAGCGTCAGGGTCACACTGTTTGCCAGGGCCCAAACCTGCCCAGGACCAGGGGGGAGGAGACGCTGGGAGAAAAGACGTTTGAAGGAATGTTTGAATTAACCGCTGCCTGCAGAGTTTCCAACAGTGTCTGATTTTTAACAGCGGACCTCGGAAACGTGATTGTGAGCTCACAAATAGGGCAGAGTCACTCCTCGCATCACAAGGAGTGTGGCCACCGGACCAACCCGGCCGGCAGGGAGAGAGCCCTCACTCAGCTGGGACTGGAAAAACTCTTTGTCTCACCGATCCTGTTTGTGTCTCCTGTAAAGTGATAGGAACACATCACTTTCGCTTACTGCTCTGCTGTGGTTACAATGAGCCAGAGTGAGCTCACCCCATCCGGACTAAACGCCATCGCCAACCGAAGGCTGAATCCCACGGTAACAATATTCCTCTTACTTCCTGTCAAGCTCTCTGACTCAGTGATTTCACACGCGTTAAATTTGTTCCCCAAACCATGGGACGCACCGCAGAAATGGGTTTCATCTAGTCTGCGCATGACGGCCCGTGCAAAGGCTCAGAAATCTCAGTGACGGTGCGAAAGGACCGAGGGTTGAAGGAGGGGGTGTGACCAGCCCCCAGCAACAGGTCCTGAGATGCACAGAAATGGAGTCCTTGCTCCCCCACCCGCTGCGCTCTCTCCTTTAGCACCACCAACTTCCACAACCAATTCCTCAGGTTTTCAGCTGCTTTGCGAGAAGCAGGGTTCCGAGCAGAACAAAATGTTTGCTGCCAGACAAAGGCCTTTTGCTTAACTCGACGCCTTCAGCAAAAACCCGACAATGTTCCGTGAGCCCACTGGGCGCTATCTTTTTATCCTTTGCTTTTTTTTTAATGTTTCACTTGGGGGCGGTGGGGGAGGGGCGGAGGCTAAAACAAACTAATTTCTGGTCTTTTCATTCCTTTCGCAAACAGTTTGAGGACGGAGCGATTTGTCCTGACAAATCTGGGCTTAGCGGGCGGCCCGCAGCCCGGCGGTCACGGGGCCGACTTGACAGGGGACGGCCACTCGCTCCGTTGTCAGCTGTCACTGGGCGAGGGCTAACCTGCCGCCGGCGGCTCTGGCGGCCCCCGCGTGGTCCTGCCTCTGTATAATGAACAGACTGTTTCATTAGCGGGACAATTCACCGGGCAAATCCAGCCCAAACAACTTATTTCACGATTTGTGAGCAGAATTCCATTCGGGGGAGCCGGTGGCCGGCACACAATGTGTGAGGGATCAGGACAAGTGCTCCGGCGAGTCTGCAGCCGTGGGGGCTGGGGCGGAGGCCGCCGCATGCAGATCAGCGGATTAGGGGGCGACAGCCTCGGGTCAAGTGTCTGAGGGGGCCGATCAACACCCCGAACCTGACAGCAGCTCGCCCGCCCTTTCTTCCGCGGCCTGTGGAGTGCGAGCAAATCTCCTGAATGCCCTGGGTGCCGGGGCCCTTTCTTCGCGAAGACACTCTGTCCATTTTCCGAGGCGGCTGGGCCGGCGGAATCCATTGGCCCCGCGTCTCGCACACAAAAACGCGTCCTTTTCCTCCCCGTCTTGACGAGGAGCCTTTGTCTCAAGGTGTGTGAACCAGAACCAAATCCACCTCGAGGGCCCGGCTGCAAGGCCTCCGGGTTTAGCTCGCAGACAAAGGGAGCACTTTGAAGGTTACACAATCGAATGCTGTTTTTTGGTCGCACGCACACACAAAACCCTCTCGTTGTGAACACGGCCGAGCGGGAGGACTGCACGGCGAAGGTCCTAGGACACCTCGGGATGAATCGTATCCTAAGCGAGCACTGCTACTCATTCGGACACGGAAACAGCCAGTGAGCTGTATTTCGCGTGTTTTAAGCGTCGCCAGCGGGAGGGGCCGTGCTGACCGCAGGAGGCTGTGTCTGCGAGAACGCGGAGGGCAGGACAGAAGTCTGTGCTGTCCCGTCCAACACGCGCGGCCGGGGTTCGGCCGGCCCCAGGTGTGTCCACAGGCTCGCGTGAGCGAGGAGCCCGGCTGCAGCCTGGGGTTGCCTTGCGGGTTACTCTTCATTTCTTTCGGCGTCCGAGTTTCACAACGATCACACGGGCGCGGCCTCCGACAGGGACCAGCCACTTTCCCAGACCTTTAATCCGAGCCCCTGGGTTCAGACTTTTGAAGACATTTTTCTTTTGGTAGGTGTTTTGGCTCTATTTTTTCAAAACATGTTTTTATGGATTTTCTAGAGAGAAAGGGAGGGAGGGGGGAGAGAGAGAAACATCAGTGATGAGAGAGAGTCATTGACTGGCTGCCTCCTGCACGCCCACCCAGGGGATCGAGCCCACAACACGGGGATGTGCCCTGACCGGGGATCCAACCGTGACCTCCTGGTCCCTAGGTTGATGCTCAACCACTGAGCCACACCAGCCGGGAAGAGACGTGATTTTCCTTTTC